TTCGGGCAGAGGCCCCCCCCCCCCCCCCCCACTTACCTAAATCACGTGTGCTTCTCCCCACAGGCTGGTGTTGTTTATTGAATTCAGTGTGGCTGTGCATGGCTCCACCCACACAGCCACGTCATCCATTCACAGATCTTTTGAAAGGATCTGTGAATGGATAAACTGCAAGTCCAATCAGCCACCGCGGCAGAGGGACTTGTAGTTTTCAGTGGACTACAAGTGCGGTGATGTCACTCCACTTGTAGTTCATTAATTCATCCTCCCGTCCACTATACCTTGCTACCAAGGTACCTGGATAGCAGGATTCTTCTTTCGCAGGCTGATGTTTTTTGCAAATTGTATGGATGTGCGTAGCTCAGCCCACATAGCCACAGATCATTTGAAAGGATCTGTGAATGAAGAAACTATAAGGCTCATCTGACAGAGGGACCTGTAGTTCTTAATGGAATCCCACACTTGTAGTCCATTCTTCCTCCCGTTGCTGTTACTGAATGTCCAAGGTACAAGGTACGATTGTCCAAGGTACGAACATGGATGGGAGTGTGAATCTGCAGAAGCCAGCGCATTGCAAAATAATAATACATGCACATTCGAATATTTGTGCGTTTATTATTTTCTTTCTAAGTGGTGGAATTTTCCTTTAGCTCAAGAATGGCCTGAATTACTTAAAAATAAGCAGTCCATGGAACCAGGGAATGTTGTCTATTTACTCCGGCAGAAAAGGCTAATATAATCAAATCACATGCAGTTTTATATTAAGTCTGGATAGTAAGACATCTGCGCTTGATTTCCTGGCTCTGCACACCTGCCGGGTCAGTTATGAAGAGCTGTCCCTGTTTGATTTTTCATTTATTTATAATATGCAGGCAGAGCGGTTAAAAGATCTGCATTGAAGAAGCAAAAGTGATATTTGCAGGGTGTGCATGAATATAACCGACAGAGCTGTGTCTATAATAAGGCTGTTGCATCTCTTTGGGTCACATGGGCTCAACTTGCTGCCCTTTTTCTGACCAGAGTGTCCCAGGTTGCTAAGAGGACCATATCTATCTCCCCTCCTGGCTCTTAGCATCCTGGGATGCTCTAGCCAGCAACCCACCCAGCTCCTGGCCACCAGTGACATTAATGAGCTGGGTGGGACACCAGCCAGAGCTGGGCGGTGCTCCACCTGGACACCGGCCAGAGTGCCATTAGCATGCACCTCCAGCACCCCATCAACAACCAACCTCTTCCTACCTGGTGTGACCTCCAGCACCCCCACGTCTCAGGCAACGATTATGCTAGTGACACCCCTGATAACCGGGGATGGTGGCACAAAGATCTCCCTGCTGAAATCCCCACAAAATATAAAAAGGCTGCACAGAAATCGCCACCAGTGACCAAAATATCAATTTTCGGTTGAGGAATGTTTTAACCCCTTAGTAGCTGTAAATATTGGACTGGTCTGGCAGTGAACCTGTCCACTGAGTTTTTTGAAAACACTTAAAAAAGGTAGAGAAGACACAGTAAAATCAATTCCAACCAATTAGGCTGCACTGTAGGACACCTCTTTTATTTCTTACTCCATTCAAATGAATGTCTTTATACAATCAATAAGTATTTTTCTTGTGTATGTATTTCATACTCTACCCTGCCTTTCATTCTAAAAAATATAAACAATTTAAACAACTCCGATAGTCATGGAATCCATGCATCTTTCTTTTAATTTGCACTGCATTTTGGGGGATGATGCAGGGAAAATGATCATCATGTGGACTTTTACAGGATTAAGTCATTAACCAGACATTTTTTGCTATGAGTCTATCATAATTATATCAATTATGCATCAACTGGCATTTTCTCCCTAAAGTTTACCTTGAGGGAGCTTGCCAGTGTAACATCACTGCTTGCAAATAAATTATTAGCTGTGTTTCTTCTGTCCGCGGAGACCGTGCCTCACTTTGTAATGAGCTTGACTTGAAACGAAATAAAAGAATACCAAGTTTATGAGAGGAGGAGACCTCCTGAAGGAAATATACAGATTGTACTACATCCAAGGAGCTGCTGAATGCAGCAATGATTGTGTACACATGACTCTGTCACATAACAATGGCCCTTGTAATTATAGTGCTTCCATTTGGCCATTCACAGGCAGCAAAGTACAGTT